TAATGGCAGTGGAGAAGAAACTGTCCAAGTCTAACTGATAAGCAAGATGCTTCCGACAAGCCGGCCACAACCAAACTTGCTTGCAAACCTTCCGCCACAACAATCCCACCCCCTTGATAAACGACCAATCACATTCACTTTATTCACTCGTGTAAAGTCGTGCACCACTCGGGAGAATTCAGAAATGCAACGGTTGGAAGAGCCGTTTCCCTATGACTTTAACTCTGCACAACAACTTTAACTCAAGGTAGAGTTTGGCATCATCAGCATGAAGGCATGGATCCATCCTGGGTTCAGGCTGCTGCCAGTGGTGGGTTAATGGTTGGGGCTCCAGCCTACCGGAGTATTGTTGAGCTGACAGTCTTTCTGATTGCAGGCTGCAGAAGAAGGAGGAGAGACTGTAGCTTCTTACAGCGTCTGCGTTTGCCTGATGGAAGGAGAGGAAATGGCCCACAGCCGCTGGAGCGTCCAGAGGAAGCTCACTGAATTCCAGATGCTGCACCGCAAACTGACCGAGGTAAAAAAAACCTTCTGTTGATTTCAGTGATGAGAGACGGAGCGATCGACCAGAATCTGCTCTAATCTGATCAGCAGCTCAACTGAAAGCTGAAAGGTTCTGAGTCTGGATTCCTGTGCTTTGATGGATAGACTGGATAATGTTAACAAACCAGGGCGACACTGTTTGATGTGCTGTGGTCTTTATAAATCCCAGTCTAAACTGGTTTCAGCAGGTTAGACCTAAAATAAACCTGGAAACTATGGCCGTTTCTCAATTTACAAGAACGCGCGTACGTTCTCATGTCCTCGCCAACTATGTTCTTGAAGAAGAACACAGGAAAGTCTGGAGTCAGGGAGAATGGAAGCACGCAGCATAAATATGGGTCAATTGGAAAAGAAGCGTACTGATGACATCATCACACTCTTAGCTCATCTGGAGCTGCTTTTCACCTCCTGTTATTAATAGTCTCTGGATAATAATTAATTCTTACTTTTTCATTTAATGGTGGAATAATGATGAACACAGTCAGATAAACACAAATCAAATGAACATTCTGCCAAATAAAACAAAAAACTCTCCATCAGAGCCAGCAGTCCTTCACACACGGCTATGCAGAGAGAGGGCTGCTGCAGACGGGCTAACATTAGCCCTGGCTACGGTTTCCCTCGACAGTGTTTCCCATTAATTAACGAGACTGTGGCGGACCGCCACAGTCTCGTTTGGGCCCGCCAAAGTCTCATATAGACGGACAGAGAGAAAAAACAACAACAAAAAGATCTGTCAGTTTATCAGACCGTTCCACAGCTGTACTTTCATAGCGCCCATAACCCAGCGCCATAGAGAGACAAACTGTTTACGGCCGTAACCAGGCGACAGGAAGAATGCACGCCACGCTCATAGACGGTCAGTGGCGGTTCTACCCATCAGGTGAGACCCACTCCAAGCGCCAGTTATATTTTTTTCAAAGCACGCGTCCCGCCCTCCTTTATAAAGATGCTGCCCGGTTCGCCCTCAGTGTTGCCAACTCAGCGAATTTGTTGTTATATTTAGCCACTTTTCAGACCCCTCCAGTGACTGTTTTTCAAAAAAATGACTAGCGACAAAATCTAGCGACTTTTCTGGTGTCTCTGGCAGCTTTTGGAGACTCTTAGGTGAAAGCACGTATCGTTCCTACTCTTGTCCTCCAGCGCCAGGTGCTGCTGTGGGGCGCCTCCCCCATCCCAACCCCGTTCTCCTGCTTCCGGAGGAGTTCCTCTCAGCGCTGCAGTCAGAGCAGTAAACGTGCTGCATGCACCCTCATGGCAGCAAGCGGGATGTAAATGTAAAATGTTATTTGGTCTAAAATACATTTTTAATGTTTTATCCTAAATAACGGTATTTGATTCACACAGCAACAGTCACTTAATCAACTTGTCCATTGTGTTTTTCCTCTCTAAGATAATGATTTGTAGGCTCCTTAGTGGACCAAAAGGGAAAAAAGGAAAAAAAAGAAAAAAAAGAAAAGTGGCCTCAAAAATGCAGCTTAAAGGGGAACTTTGTTTTTTTTACATTGGGCCCTTGATTTTACGTTATTACATCATGTTCTACTCACCCATATAAGTTTTGTGTCATTTGGAGCCATTCTCAAGATATTCAGTTAGGTTATATCGAGGTAACTTCTTCCTATGAGAAACGAGTTGAAGGCACAACCTAAACATTTCATAATTTATCATTTATGGTACGCCAGCATTCATAACATGTAGGCGAATCACTGTCCCCCAGACATCCACGGTTATATTTTTTATATTTATATCTTTTAAAAACAAAGCCGATTGTGTATGACACATTAAATCCATAAATGGGCCATATAGTGATGCTTAAAAGTATAATGCTCTTGCCTCAAATGATCTTAAAGTGTACTTTTATTGAACAACAGCAACAGAAAAGAGAACTTTTAACTTAATACTCTGAGCTCTGTTAGCGCTCTATTGGAAGCTGCTGCCGCCGCAGTGCATGCTGGGACATCTGTCAATTTCAAGAACAGACAAGTCTGCTCTGATGCATGGGAAAAGTCCGGTCAGCAAGGAATAACCAATGGGTCATTATTTATACCTTAAACTAATAAGTTTGTGTTGATTTAATGAATTTAGCGTTAATCAGTAAAATAAGTAAAATAATAATTTTGGTCGCAATCACAGAGTCTGGGAGCGGCCATTTTTGCCCAAATATAGTAACCCCTCCCTCCTGTCATCTTCCAGCAGTGACGTCACGGTGCGGTAAGCCTAGCGCCATTCTCCCCGCTTTACAAGCAAAATCAATGGGAACTACTAGACGCATCTGCAATCAACAACAATTATTGAAGATTTCCAGAGGACTTCACCATTGAAATTCACCAGAGCTATAGTGAAACTGACAATGCTCACATGCACAGCAGCTGGATGTTGGAATACATCGGGTAAAAGGGAAAAAAATCAGTTACATCACCTTTCCAATTCCTGATCCTCCATGGACGGGTTTGCCTACTTGAGGAGGGAGGATTTGTCATCGAACTTCTGGCCAGAGAAAAAAAACGTAATATGTAGCATTTGGAAGAAGAATGTTTTCCAGATGACTTATAAAAGAGCGTTATGACGAACACCAGATACAGCACTGGGACTTGATCAACAGCCGATACCGCACCGTGACGTCACAAACCAGTAGGTGGCAGTAGTGATCTTTGACAAACATGGATGCCTCCAGTAAAGAACATTCAATTGAAAATTACTCTTAATTAAAAACACTGATCATTTATTGAACAGTATGGAATAATTTCATATTTAAAGCACTTTCAGAAGTTTGAATTCTGAATATGACCAGACTTTCTCCTTTAAGACATTACTGCTGAATGGATCATTAAATGTCAGGATTGTTGTCTGTATTCATTGCTTCTTCTATATCTTCTTCTTTTTGTCCTCCAGTGTTTTCCGTGTTTGAAGAAACTCCAGTTACCGTCACTTAGTAAACTTCCCTTCAAATCCATCGACCAGAAGTTCTTAGAGAAGAGTAAAACCCAGCTCAATGCCTTCCTCCAGGTACCTGCAGACTGAGGTCATCCTGTATTTTTGTTTGGGTCATGGGTCAGCATTAGAATACAGCAGATTCAACTCATTCACTTTTGCAGCTGTTTGCATGATCGAATGTTTTTCATTTTAAATCGAACAATAAGAACTGTAATAAATCTGTTTATTTTAATAAAAAGAGTCAAGCCAATAAAAAACCAGTTTCCATTGGGTTGTAGTTTTCAAAGGGACCTTATGTAGCAGCTCCACCCAACATCCAACCTGCACACACACCTAGGGACAATGTGGAGAAGACAACTATCTGACACTCACGATTTGGCACCTTTTTTAGTGATGATTTGAAATTTGGGGTGAAAAAAAAAAATTTAGGAAGAAATGATCTAATCCAATCAGACGTCAGGGTTTTTAGATGCTGCTCTAGTCCCGCCCTCTGGGTGTAATGGGTGAAGTTGATGGCTTAGATGATTTAATGACTCTCCTGTGCAGACACCATGAAATTAATAAATACAGAGTAGAATAAATTTCATGTCTTAGTTTAAAAGGTATATTTAATTATTTAATGTTACATTTGTTTGATCTATAATCTAAATAAATGGTATTTTCTTTATTTCATTCCACAGTTGGACCTATGTTCTTTTCATTTTTTTCCATTAAACTTCCATATTTGCAGATCTAATCAGGAATATTTACCGTTTACATCTGAATGCCTCTGTCTCTTTTCAATGTTTTAAGTTTTTTTTTTATTAGTATATATGTGATTGAGTTTCATTATTTCAAACAAAGGAAGCTGATAATTCTCTGGTCCATTAGTCGGGCTGTTTGCTCCTGTAGCCAGCTGCCAGAACAGAAACTCTGCTTGGAGTTTATCTGCAGGATTTCTTTGAAAGGAATGACAGTGGAGCTGATTTGAATCCCTGGATGTTTTTGATGAGAAGTTTAACCAAATGACCAAGTTGGTGTTTTTGTTTTCGGGAACCCAGAGGAAGAAACTGTGACTCAGGGCTTCTCTCTTTTATCTTATTAGTTGGATTTTAAATGATAGGCGATATGGAGGACTATGCAGGTAAAGATTCTCAGTCATCCAGGTCATAGTCATTCCAAAAAAAGTTCCTAACAATCCACTGGACTTTGTTTCCAAGAAGACGTTTCTCTTCCCATCCAGGAAGCTTTTTCAATTCAAAATGTCAGAAATAGAGTTGAGTTTGAGGCTTTATAGAGCGGAACCAAAGCAAAGCCTTGCTTTGGCATTGAAAATATGTACGGTAGATTGAACCAGACGAAGGGGTCCGCCCCTTTGGAATGGGGGTTGTTTGGCTTCTTTTGTTAGCTTGCAATGCCCCATACCCGTCTATGTCTCTGAAAGGGGTGTCGTTAAAGGGAATGTTTTCCTGGCTGAAAGGCGAGGCCTTCTGTTCTCCTGTAAAGGGCTGGTTATTCTCCCACAGCAGTGTGTTGCAGTTAGCTTGGCGCAGGTATTTTTGGTTTATGCCCAATATTGAAGCGTGATCTGTGCTATGTTCTTCCACGCCACAACGCAAGAGGGACAATCACAAACTAGCTGTGAATCTAGATACGGCCGAGGCGGTGAGGAAGTGGGGGCAAGTTTGTGCGACAACGGAGGGACATGAGGGCGAAAAAGGGCGGGGATCCAGGTGGAAAAAGGGTATATCGTTCTCACGCACCTCGCTCTTCTAACTGGTCAAGCTTCACAATTCGTTTTCCACAATGGCGGTCATACAAACAAAACAAGCCAATATGGGAGCAAACAAGCAATACGCATAGTGTAGAGCGGATGTAGATTTGACCAATCAGAGGCCTCCTGTCTGCGGTTACCTACGATTTTGGAGAGGTGCAGCAGAGTGTCTGCGGAAGGGGCGGGGGCATATCTGCATTCACTGCAACACACATGCAGACCACCTGGTTTCTGAGTATAAACCAGCCTTAAGGGGGGTGGGGGCTGCGATCAAAGCGGGAAGGGATGAACTCAATTGCTGCATTGCAGGTTTTTGAAAGCTGAAATCTGACTCTACCTCCTCTGTTTAAGGTTGGTTTCTCTTCCTTAACATAGATTTCCTTCACGTCCCTCACAAACCACCTATTTTCTTTGTCCAAACTTTGAACATTCTGGTCCTCCATAGAATGTCTTTTGTCCATCAGGTGTAGGTGTACTGCAGAGTCTTGTCCAGAGGAGGTCGCTCTCCTATGTTGGGCCATGTGTCTGTAGAGAGGTTGTTTGTTTTCTCCAATGAGATCAGAGCATTCCTCACTGTACTGAACTGCAGACACCACTCCACTCATATTTGGTTTAGGGGTTTTGTCTTTAGGATGCACTAGCCTCTGTTTGAGGGTCTTGTTAGGTTTGAAATGTACTTGTGGCCAATATGGCCCCACACTCCGTCTTTGGCACAAGGGGGAACAAACAACTCAAAGACGCAAACCGTGAAGCACTCAAGTTCAAATTTTTTTTATTTATACGAAAGCCACTGTAAAAGTGGCACAATAAAACAGTCCTTTTCACTTCCTTATAAAACCTAACATTCAATAGTTGTCCTTAAAAGTTACAAATCATAGGCTGGAAGTTGGGCTCCGCTTGTTATGCTGCTTCTGGTGGGGGTGATCCGATCAGCACCCTCTTGCTGATCCACAGCTGACTCTGCGACGCTCCGGCACTGTTGCACTCTTTGGCGTGCCACACCCCTTTTAAGACCGATCCAGCTAAAAGAGAGAAGCAGGGAAAATGTCAGCATCCCCGCACCAAAACCCAGAAGAAGACGTATTTTCCTGCTGATGCTCTGAGCTAAACGAAGCTTTATTTACATGTGCAGGCAGAGGTTCCCCCTCTGCCCTAATCCTCTTTACTGGGCTGTCTGTGCACCTCCTGGTGATGTGCCCGGAGCGCAGGTCCCACCTGCCTCTCGCTCGGCAGCGTGTCCGTCTCTCTCACCTGCAGATTCAGTTCATTCCCCCCCTTCCATTCAGGCTTCTTTTTATGTTGGCTTCAATCAGCCTCTGCTGACACCTGAGATCAGCAATTACGTCCCTCCCCTGACAACCAAATTCAGTCCACTGCGCTTGGATTGTCACAGGGGAAAAACCAAAAGCAAAACATGCAAATTAAATCAAAAAGTCTAAATAAAGGAAAACAAAATCATATTTTCTCCTCCAAACATGCAAAGCACAAAAAAGAAAATGTAAACAAAAGAAAAACACAACCACATTTCCCCCTGTGCAACATACTGGAATTTCTGTTTGGAGAAAATCCTCTTGAGTTTTCCAGAGGCTCCAGCAACATATGGGATGGAGATGTTTTTAAGTTTAATCTTCTCAACGTTATGTTCTGCTGCGTCTCTTTTGGATTTTCTTGCAGACTTGACAAACGCCCAGTTTGGGTATCCACAGGTTTGAACAGCATCTTTGATGTGTTTCTGTTCTTCATGCTTTCCTTCTGTTGTAGTAGGGAGATGCTCAGTGTGATGTTGTAAGGTTCTAATGACTCTGAAAGCTTGTGTTCCAGTGGGTGGTGGGGGTCAAAAAGAAGATATTAGTCTGTGTGAGTGGATACTGAATGGCCTCGAACTCAACTCTATTTCTGACAATTGAAAAAGCTTCCTGGATGGGAAGACAAACGTCTTTAGACTTGGAAACAAAGTCCAGTGGATTGTTTAACATTTTGAGAAAACATGGAGGACATTTTCATGGGCTGTCCATGACACCCCCTGTCTTTGTGTTGCAGCGGCTGCTGACAGATGAGCGACTGTGCCAGTCAGAGGCGCTCTACGCCTTCCTAAGCCCGTCTCCAGAGCACCTCAAAGTAACGCAGCCTTTTCTGATTCATTCCCATCTTTCAACTCCTCATGAATTCATGAGTTACTCTGTGTTATTGGTCCTCTAGGTGATGTCCATTCAGAAGAAGTCCTCTTTCTCTTTGGCCTCCTTTCTGGAGAGGTTACCTGGAGACTTCTTCTCCCACACCGAGGTAGATAACGCTAACGTTGAGCTTTAGGAGCCTGTGCTGCGATTGCTTGCCTCACGCTATGTGTTCTGGCTCCGACGGCTGTTTGTAGGAGGACGGCGACGATGACAGCGACCTTTCAGACTACGGTGACGAAGCTGACGGGCGCAGAAACGCTCTGGCCGAACCCTGCTTCATGCTGATCGGGGAGATCTTTGAACTGAGAGGAAGTGAGCTGCTCATTAACAGATGTGTGGCTGCAGCAGGACATGATCTGCTCTAACTGCTTTGTCTCTGTTTTCCTGCTCAGTGTTTAAGTGGGTGAGAAAGACTCTAATTGCACTAGTCCAGGTTACGTTCGGACGAACTATCAACAAGTAAATATGTCCGTTTTTAACCCTTCTTCTCCGTCTGTCTGCCATCAGCGTGCTGAGACTGACCTTTTCCGTTCCTTCCCCAGACAGATCCGGGACACTGTGAACTGGATCTTCTGCGAGCAGATGCTGGTGTGTTACATCACGGTGTTCAGGGACACCTTCTGGCCTGATGGGAAGCTGGCGCCTCACGGGAAGGTCCGGACAGATCCGGAACGGAGCGAAACCAAGGAGCGTGCTCAGCAGAAACTATTGGACAACATTCCAGGTAGTTTTCCAGGAGTGCAGTTTGCTTTGCTGGTTTCCTCTCATTTGGACACTTTACTGGGATTGTACTGGATCAACCAGTTTAAAGTGACGAGTACAAAGAAAAATCAGTGCTTTTAGAATTTTTATTCATTTTTTACAAAGAGGGATTTAAAGCAGTGTTTTTATTTAAAGTCATAGGGAAGCGGCTGCTCAAACGGTTGCATCTCCGAATTCTCCTGAGTGGTGCACGACTTTACTAGCCTGGGTGCCAGTCCGAACTTAGTCCCGCCCACAA